ATATGGTTAGTGTATACGGCAGCACTTCATCATCAAAAGGAAGAAGTGTACATGAGATCAGCCTTGAGCAGGTCCTGAAAGCATAAATTATTTGCATGAGCAAGTGGCCTAAATGCCCATGTTTCCTACTCCTGCTACACTGCTCCTTTTCTCTAAATCTGGATATATTTGATTTCAGGAAGAATTCTCTGTGACCATCTCATGGGGTGGGGGGATAGAAATGGTAATCATGCTTGTTTACTGACAGCTCTGCACGATAACATGAGGATGACAACAACACTATAATATCCTACTCCGGGGTAGTCCTAGAGAATGCAAAGGGAAACCCTTCTTGGCAGAAATGTGAACCAGGTACCCTAGCTGTTCACTTTGCCTGAAAGGAGAGATGACAGAGGTACTGTTCTACACTGACTCATGGACAGTGTTTAATGATATGACTGGGTATTCAGGGCTTTGGAATGAATAATTAGAAAACTGGTGACAAGGAAATTTGGAGATGAGGTATATGGATAAACCTCTCTTTGAAAGGACAAAGAGTATGATGTAACTTGTATACCATGTGAATGCTTACCAAATAGCAAACTCTGCAGATTAGATGCATAATAACCCAGTAAATAAGGTGACCTGTTTGGAGGACTCAGCCAGTATCTACCCAACTGCTCTATCCTTGACCAATGGGCTCATTAACAAAGAGGCCATGGTAACAGGAATGGAATTTATACAGGGGCTCAGCAATATGGACTTCCACTCAGCAAGGCCAATGTGACTATACCACAGCTGAGTGTCCAACCTGCCAACAGTCCATGCATGCTACAAGCACTGGGGAAAAGGTAGGTGGATGCCATCATTCATGAGATGGTCAGCCAGTTATTTCTCTACTCATTTGTAGCCCCTAATGGTTTTCCATTACTTCTTAATAAGTCAACTATGAGTTTAAAATAAATATTGTTTATAGTGTGAAGGTTTTCAGATTGTCTTAGTCTGCCCCCTTGTGGGAACCAGCTCTTCAATGTCTCACTGGAATACAATGTATTCTATCCAAACTGCTCCTCAAATGAAAGAAAACAAAAAAATGTATCCACTCGATAATAATAATTTTACTCAAGGCTTTACTAATAGGTTCCCTCCTCATCCTCTGTTATCCAACTGTTTTTGAACCTTCATTAAAATTTATAAAGTTTTTCAAAGAGGTTTTTCTGTTATCTCTTGCCAGAAAAATTTAGATAAGAATATATTAAATCAAATCTTTGTAGATGTCCAACATTTCTTTTCCAACCTTTCAAGCTGCTATGCTTTTATTCCCTTTCTTTCATAAATATGGATAATCAAGGAGTGGCTTCTACAAGGCTTCTAGTGCTAACTAGGCCAATTATAATACTAAGTAAGATACTTAATGTGTTCTGACACAAAATGTGCTTGGGGTTGCATATTCCAAGAGTTTAAGATGTTACTAAATAAATTATTATGAATCATTTTGAAAATATGAACACTCATAGCTGAGGAAATAGTTGAGTAAATAGTGGCTTACTTATGATATGGACGATTATACAGACTTTAAGAAATTAGAATTTAATTATGTCCCTGGAGATATGACTAGGTTATACTGTTAATTGGGGGGGAAAAGAACTAAAAATGTATTTTTTAAAATATTCAAACTAATACACACACACAATTCTGATGAACCAGAATTCCTAGAATTGATGAGCTTCCTTCATAAATGTGATGGCATAAATGCAAGACACTGGCACTGTGCTAGATGCAAAGGCCCTACCGTTAATGAACTGAAAAACAGAAATCCAATAAGACCAAATATAGTAAACAACATAACCCAATTACATACAATATACTATAATGGAAAACAGAAAATAACCACCCAACCTTAGAAGGCCACACTGGGGTTAAACTGGCATATCAGTTTAAGTCATATTTCAAGAGCCTCATTTGTACACAAATCAATAGATAGTTGATAGTCTGACAAACTACCTACATTCAACATATTTCTCACACTGCTTTATTTTTCCAGTGACAAAAGTAATAGAAGTGGACATCAGATCAATATGTGGCCTGGGCACATCCACATACTTTCCCAAGCACACTAAGTGTGTTCATTCTTCCCTTGAACACATACTGACAAATTTTTATATGCAAGTGTTCTAGGGCTACAGTGGTGAACCAGACAAAGTCTCTGCTCAAATAAAACACTTTCTAGTAGTTGAGACAATAATAAACAAGCAAATAAATAATTAATTTCAGGTAATGATAAATACTGTGCAAGTTATGGCCAGGTATTTAGGTAGGATGGTCAGAGAAGGCCTCTTTCACCTAAACAGAAATCTAGAGCCATTTAGTCAAGAAAGTAAGTGTACAGGTCTTGCAAAGAAAACACTCAAATCAGTGAACTGTATGAAAACAGGCCACACAGGTCAGATCTGCTCACCCTGCTTTAGAGCACTGCTTCCAGTCACAATGGTACAAATCAAATAATGAAAATATTACACCAAAGTGGAGTAAACTGATAAGGTTTACTACTGGAGGTGAATGGCATGGACATTAGCTACCCTACACTGTGTCCCAAGGACTGCACTTATTCTAACATCTCCTTTCCTACACATTGTTTCCCATTGAGTTTACAATATTTCACTTATTATTTTATGTATTTATCACCAATTCAGACCTGAGCCCTTTGCCTAAAACTTTTCTAAAGAATATTAATGCATCAGTTTCTATCAATCTCATTTCCTGAGAATGTGTCTTCTGGGGGCTTCTAACCTACTCCAATCTGCTCTGGTTGCCCTCTGTCCCTGTCTTTTCATTGTCATCCTGAAGATTTCTTCACTTTCTCCTTTGTTAAATTTCCCATTTCTTGTAACCCATTTCTTTTACTTGGCTGACTTCCTCATTTTGATGGATTACATCCTACAATAGATTCCTATAAAAGAGAACAAGGCAGGCAAAAAAACCCACCTTACATGTCTTAAAACATCTTAATTTTATTCTTATACCTGATCAATAGTTTCGATGCATATGGAGTACTAAAGTTGAAATTATTTTCCTTCAAAATTTTGAAAGCGATGCTCCATTTTTCATTCAGTTTTCTAATGCTACCACTGAGAGGCCCAAAACCAATTGATTCCTGTTACTTTGTATATGACAAGTATTTTTTCCTCTCTGGAAGCATGAAAAACCTGTTTGGCCAATAATTTGAAATTTCACCACAATGTGTTTTTATTTGTGTGTATATTCATCCACTGTACTGAATATTCACACTCAGTAAGCCTTTCAACCAGGAACCTCAAGTTCAAGAAAATTCTCTTGAATCATTTTGTTGATGATTTCTTTCCTATTTTCTCTGTTGTTTCTTTTGGGACTATTACTTGAATATTGAAATTCCTGGACTGGTCCTGTAAGTTTCTTAACACTCCTCACTTCTATAATCTTTGTCTTTTTGCTCAAAATTTTCAGAGATTTCTTTCAACGTTAATTTTCTAATACTTCTGATCTCTGTTATCAGAATTTTAATGTTGAAAGCCTCTCTTAAAAATCAGAATATTATTCTTTATGGTATCTCCTCCTTGTTTCATGGCTGTATTATTTTCTTATTTCCCTGAGGATGTTAATAATGGTTCTATTATTTTCCTCTGCAAAATTTTTGTTCTCTCCAAATTGCTTTATTATGTTTATTTTAATCTCCATCTTTTATATTTTAAGAGAGTTTCTTTAAATACCTAGTAATCTTTGATTAGCTGCTCATACTTAGGAGAAGAGGCCTCAAAGGCTGACTGGGAGCTTTGATACATGGAGTGATCTAGCTGAATTGTTTATTTAAGAAATCTCTGATGACTACATTTATGTGTCTTTCTTTTTAGTCCAACTCCTCAAAATGATTAAGTAGTAGTAGTATAAGTTAAAATTTCCAAATCAACCTGCATAAATTATTCCTCTTTTTATTCTCCAACAAACTATTTCATAAAAATAATACAACCCTAAAACTTAGGAAAAACAAAATTGAAGGAAAAATGGAACAGGATTATAGAATAGAGCTTTTATAGAATTAAAACACTGCACATTTGTAAACCTAAGCTTTGTTTTATTTGTAAGTAAAGTCTCTAAAAACCAAACTCAGTAATGACTGCTGAAATTCTGTAATATATCCACCATTTTAGGTTCTTAATTCTCATTCTCTTATGAGATCACTTCATTCATTCAACAATATTTTTTCAGTAACTACTATATACTAGAAACTCATTCTTGGAACTGAAAATACAGCAATGAACAAATCAGACAAAATCTCCAACCATGGAAAATTCATTCTAGTTTTGGACAGAGAAAACAAAATAAATACAAAGGAGATAAGTACAGTGAATAAAAAAGAGAGTGAGTGTGCTAGTCATGTAATTTTTAATAAGGTAATTAAGGGAAGGCAAGGCCTATCTAAAAATTTCACTGATACATTATATTTTTACCCAGTTTAAAAGCTGTCACTTCAAAAAAACCAATTAAAAGCCTATGATAATAAATTTTAAACAGATAAGGAAAATAAGAAGATCCTAATTTAAGACAGTAATTATAAACAAAAGCCATTTCTTCTGAGAGAGCTAAGACTACAAATATAGCATTGACGAAATTTTAAAAAGCCAGTGTGATGATACTCCCAACAAATGTTACTGTTAAATGTTACTTTCGGTAAAATACCAAAAGTGATATCCAAACATACACCACAATGCTCCAAAATCACTTAAAACCTTAATATCATTTAAAAAATGACATAAGACTATTTTTCATTTTCTTTTATCTTTAATAAATGATACCGTACAGAACTTTTTAAATTGAATTTATTGGAATATAGAACTTTAAGACTGTAACATTTAAAGCCCTAAATTTAAAGCCTTAAAATACCTATGCTAGACCCAGTGAAAACCCCAGTCCTCAGATTAAGTACTAGGAAGGTATAGCTGATATCTTTTCTTTTTAATTTAATAGTAAATTCAATGAAAATTTACCTTGCCCAGAGCGGCTTTGGCGAGAGTCAACACTTGACTGTCTTCGATCCGGTGGTTCCTCGCTCCCTCCATCTGCATAAAAGTAGAAAAAGCATAAGCAAATAGATAAAAAACTGATGTAATATATTCTCTGATTCTGCCTGTATCTTTTCTTTTTTTAAAAATATATCTTTATTGATTTCAGAGAGAGGAAAGGAGAGGGAGGGAGAGAGATAGAAACATTAATGAGTCACTGATCGGCTGCGTCCTGCACACCCCCGACTGGGGATCAAGCCCGCAACCCGGGCATGTGCCCTGATCGGGAATCGAACTCCAATTGCCTGGATCCTAGGTCGACGTTCAACCGCTGAGCCACGCCCGGCCTGGCTGCCTGTATCTTAAAATTACTATATTTATATCTATCATTTGTTTTCATTTCTTATCATTTCAATCATTAAAATACTTGAGGATATTTCCTATCCTCATGGAACCTTTCCTAAACCAAGGGTCTTATCCTTAGATTTTTTTGTGGGGATAGTTTCCTCTCCCCTCTTAAAGGGTGTTCTTTCGTTATCCATATACTCTACTTTGCATACAGGGTGGGACACAAGTAGGATAACAGTTGTACATATGGAAAATAATACAAGAATTAATAAATAATAATACAAGAATAAACCCTGTTTCATGTATTCACAACTGTAAACCTACTTTTGCCCTACCCTGTATAAAGAAGCAATGTTATCAACTCTAAAGTTCATTCACAGAATTCCAGTTTAAAAGCCTGATTTAAAGCAATGTCTAAATTAATCACAGTTGCTTATCTGTCTAATGTATGTCAAATAATCCCCAGGGCTATATGTTTTACTATAATAAAAATTACATGTTTTATGAGCGATAAGAATATTATATAATATATGAAAGAGCAAAGTAAATCAGAATCAGAAAAACTCAGAAATGAGAACACAGAAAACAAGACAAAATTAAAAAATAAAACAAAAATCATTTCAGTAATGAAGACTGAACTGTAAGAAATGCAAGAGCAAATAAACATAAAAAATATTTTAAAAACAGAAGGTAAAAGAATGAAAATCTTTAACAAATTCTTATAAAAAGAAGAGATTAAAAAGCATTTGGAAGAAGGTGACGAATGTCGGACATAGGCAAAGATCCAGCATATGGATAAAAACAAGAGTACTTAAAGAAGAAAACTAAAGTGAGAAAAAGAACAAATTTAAAAACCAGAATTTAAGAAAGCTTTCCAGAGAGGAAAACCCACTGATTGAACAGGTACAGAAATAAAAAAGGAAAGACCTGACTGTCCAACTCAAGTGCGAACTTATCAAATCAGGGCTGAGATAATCATCAGAGAGCATTTGTTTTTTACCAGAATACTGAGTTAAATCCAGCAAATAATATAAAATAATACAGGGTGGAAACAACTTTACAGTTGTGAGTATGTGAAGCACAGAGTTTATTCTTGTATTATTTCTTAATTACTGTATTATTTTCCATACGAACTATAAACCTACTTATGCCCCACCATGTATATTTGTAGTAAGTCTTTAACTCATGTTTGGCGTTATAATATAAAACAACATACCTTTAATACTGAGAAACATTGTTAATAGATCTCTCATTCCATTATTTCAAAGATTTATGAATAATGTGATAGGAGAATTACCATGTAGGATAGACAGCTTTCAACTCAGGTATATTAAAGCACTAAAACATTCCTAGTAAAGAAATACCAACCATATAGAGAATATTCAGTACTTAATGATTTCCTATGAAGGAATTATTAAAGTTAAGGAAAGGCTAATAGGAAAGTGCCTAAACAATTCTAAGAAAAATGTGGTTTTTTTCCCTGTAAGTAGGGGATACTTTAAATGATTCATTCTTTTCAATTCAGAATCAAAATATTACAGTTGGAAAATAAACAACTTAAGTGACTTTGAATTTGGCAGCCCAACCCCATCTTTAGTGTTCTCAGCTAGAATAAATATTAGATTAGATTTCTGGGTTCAAATTTGGAAGTTGTCTTCAATCCTCCTTTAGGAACTTCAATATATGACCCTAACTGAAGGAGTGGGGAAGTATTAAAACTGAATGGAATACAAATACATATATATTAAAGGTTTACTATTCAGATATGAATAGCATATACTTAATGAAGAGTATACAAGAATTGTATGCACTTAATGCAACAAGGACAGACATGTTCTGGAGGACCATAAATGGAATTTAAAGAAAATGCAAAAGGAAGACCAGGAACATAAGCCAGATTTATTTATTAGCCAAGGGCCACTTATAAAGAGGTACATACACACAATGTTCCCTGGCTATATAAGCACTCTGATAACCAGAAAAAGATAAAAAGCAGCTCACCTGCTTAGGGTTAGAAAAGAGAAAAGAAACCATGATTTGTTCATTATCTATTCTCTGCTGGGTACAGTGACAGTAAGGTCTTTACAACATTATCTCATTCAATACTAACAACAATTCTATGTAACAAATATTAGGCCAATTTTAAACGTAAGATTCAGATTCGGAGAAGTAAAGTGACTTTCCCAAAATCACACCGCCAGTAAGTAGCAATCCTAAAATTAAAACTGTCTGGTTTCAAAATTCTGCATTCTTTTCAAGACTGTCCACTGCCCTCTATCATAATACCACCACCAACAAAAAAACACCATTAAGGTGGGGGTGGGGGGAACAGAAGGGAGGTGACAGCAAAAGCAGACAGACAGATTAAGAGGCTACTGAGAAAATCCAGTAGAAGGATGAACACTTGGGCTAAGTGAGTAGTGGAAGTGATCATATTCTGGGAATATTCTGAAGGTACAGTGGAGAGAATCTGTTGTCAGAATAGAAGAAAAAAACAACAAGCCAAGGGTATGCCAATATTTCGGGCCCAAATGATTGTTCTGCAATTTACTGAGACAGGAAAGACTGAGAGAATAGGTTTGTGGGTGAGAAAAGTATTTGGAGCTCGGCTTTGGACATACTAAGTTTGAGGTGCCTTATACAAGCAGAGATGGACATATACATGTCATCAGTACGTAAGTCACACTTAAACTGTATGACATCCCAAGGAAAAAGAGTATAGATAAAAGACAGGCGGGAGAGGGAGGGGGAGGGGGAAGGGGAGA